AGCAAACATACCTGTCACAGAAACAATATTGAGCAATCGCCTCATAGTCTGTGGACTAATATCACTGAACCAGTCTTCTGTAACTAATAGTTTAGTCAGGTCAAAAGACATTTGACGTGTAATGGTACGCTGCATTTGTCTTCTCCTGTAAGTATCCTAATTATAATAAAAACCAAAGCAAGTGCATTTAACATTTATAGTTTAACAAACAGCAAATATCAGCATATCCAACAGGAGAATATGAAAAAGTACTTAAAATCCTCCTTTGAAATGACTTTTCAAAGAAAATTTATTAGGATAAAATATTTAAGTATTTTTCTAATGACATCTTCAAAAGATGCTACAGCTTAGCACCTTTGAGTAGCATGTGATGGAAGTAGATTTCAATCTAGGAAACCTTTTTTTCTCAGTCAATCTCAAAGTTACTACAAGATCTCTTAGCATATAGATCCAAACTTTTTTTTTATCGTGTCAGAAGTGACTAGAGAAACTGCAAGTCACTTCTGGTGTGAGAGAATTGTCCAACTGCAAGGACATGGCCCAGGGGATGCCCAGATGTATTACCATCCTGTGGGAGGCTTCTCTCATGTCCTCACAAGCGAAGCTGGAGCTGAAAGATGGGAGCTCACCGCGTCTCCCAGATTAGAACCCCGACCTTCAGGTCAGCAGTTCAGCCGGCACAAGAGTTTAACCCATTGCACCACCACAGCTCCGGATCCAAATTAACACAGCTATATCTTTGAATGCTTAAAAAATTATGTTCTTTCTCCAATCCTATTTCTCTTTAAGCACAATGTGTATGGCAGAGGAATCTGTCCAAGCCAGCCTTTCTAAAGCACTCGGCTCAAGGACAGATTTGCTGACTAGGAAACAACAATAGCTGGCAGCCTTTCCCTCCCAATGACAATGACTTTGTCCTCTTTTTTTCTGGGATATGGCAAGCATCATGCTAGGATTTCTACAGAGCAGCGGGGGTTGAAAATTATTCAGGATTAGCATGCCTCTTGATATACTCTGTGAAGACACCTGTGCAAATTCTTGATGAGAAAGAAATGTGTAAGAAAGAATAGTTTGATTATCTCTTACAATAAGTTCATGAAGACTGCTTTATTCTACTGAGTTTTAATTTATCGAACTGCTGAACTCCATTTATGCTTTCTCTCAAAAGTTGGGTTTTATTACATTTGGGCTTCTGCTGTGTTTTTAACAGTTTTATTGTAAGCTTCATTATTTTTGTCTTTCCAAAAAGAGAATGTTGCATTGGATTAGACTAGGTTCTCAAACAGCTATTTCCAACAGCAATTTTACATCACTATTGTTTCTCAATTTTATATCAATACTTGGCAGTGCCTGCCTACCAACACAGGTACAATATTCAGACACTGATTTCTGCACAGATGCATTTCTGTAGAATTTTCACTTCTGAAAAGTTTAACACAATTAACTGAGAGCAGTTGAACTAAATACATCCTAAGGCAGGCCTGCACAACCTCTGGCCCTCCAGATGTTTTGGACTTCAGGTCCCAATTTTTTTGTCTGTTGGACAAGCTGGCTAGGGCTTCTGGGAGTTGGAGCCCCAAATGCCCGGAGAGCCACAAGTTGTGCAAGCCTGTTCTAAGACATTCTAATGGGTTTTCCAAATACTGAAAGATTTCCAATTTTCTATTTCTTACTCGTCTGTTAAGAGCTGTTTTACTTCCAAGCTTGGTCACATCTCCGAGACTATTCTGTGAAACTCTTCGGTCTACATCTTCATGAAATCCTAAAAAAAAAAAAAAAAAATCCATATTTTCCTTCATTGTTGCAAGCAGCAATTTGTACCATGAACTCTTAATATAAAAACAAGAGGATGAAGTTATACCATATATTGCTAATGAATGCTGATATTAATATGTGCTTGTTTTCAATTTTGTAGTTGCTACTATACCTGAACCATCTGTATATGGAACATCTCCATTTGTGGTTGCAGCTACCATCATCCTTTTAGCGCTACTGAGTCCACGGCTGTTCAGAAAGACTGGTAAATGGACTATATTCCTCATGTAATCATGTCCATTTATATTTGAGTCCCGAAGCACACTGTTCAAATTCTGATTTATTGCCTTTATAATGATGTGTGGATCACTAGCAAAAATGGCAATAAATGGACCTTTCGAGAATAGGACTCGAACCTGTGAAAAGTGGGGGGAAAGTTGAACTACACATCAGTAAAGATGATAAAAACACCAAAAGTAGTTGAAGGCGTTAAGAGCCAAATGACCTGGATTGAAATACACTGAAGATGCATGCTTCTGTCCCTTTTTTCTGCTGTGGCCTGTCTCTGTTCAATATGCTGGACAGGCAATTAGAAAATGGGCTCTATATTATAGGGGACATAATAAATGGCACTCTAATATGCTTTGGTGGCTTGATGTGTAACATAGCCGTCCTGCAGCACTGCAACCACAATATTCTGCTGAGAGGTAAAGTTCAAAAGGCAATATACACTACGTGGATCTACAGCATTGTTTGCTAAATCGAGCTTTTGTACTTCTCTGCTTCCACTGCAGCCTCTGCAATACTGCTCCTTAATGTACAGAAACCTATTAGAATTGTTTGGGATGTGAAACAGAAAGAGTAGAGAGAGAATGGAGAAATCTGCTGCCAGTGAATGAAAAACTAAAGAAAAACACTGTTTCTCAAGCTACCTGAATCTGGGGACAAGCGCCCTTTCTCTCTCCTATGTGTGAGGGACTCACAATATATCTGCACCCAATGACTACAGCTATTTATTTTTTTACCCCTTGAAACTCACCATAGACTGGCACTAATCCATGATCACCACTTTGAACAGAACTAATGGAAGGAATAGTGTGGGCCTTCTCCCTTCAGAGTTATATCACAAGGGGGAAGGATGAGGTGAAGTGATGTGCCAATTTCCAACTATCAAGTTTACTTGATCCACCATTTATATACATTTTGGCCAAGCAATTTGTGTTATATCTTCAAGCTATTTATGATTACTAGATTACGGTTGTAGGCATATTTTACTTGAGAATAAGCTCTCTAATCTCAATAGTATTTCAAATGAGCATGCACTGGCTTGAATTGTAAGTTCCACAAATGAAAATAATGAACCTTACGTATCTAAACTAATTTGTTCCACTGGTATCAACATGATTTAGTCACAAGTTGGCACTGAATCCAAACTGCTCAAAATAAAACAAATGTAATACCCATACACTTCGATCTCAAAACATCTCAAAACCATTTATTAGCATAGCTGTGAAATTATGTTACTTACAGTATCAAGCATCTGTAAAACTTTGTCCTGTTCACATGCATCCAATCCATCAATAATCACTACAAGTCTGGTCTGATTCTGAGTAAAACTATCAATGGTTTTTGCCATCTTTGCCATCAACTCCACTTCACATTTAAGAACCTATAAAATAAAAATAATCTTTAAATGGCAGTGTTGTGAACATTATCCGTGGTGAAGGCAAAAACATTCCAAAATTCATCTCAATTAAAAAGACATCGGTAACTCCCACAATCTTATTACAAGTCAGTCATTCACATTCACTGAAGTTGGGGTGAAATGTCACTTGTGAAAACGAAAATCCATGCCCACCCGTGTCCACAACAAAATTTCAGGTCCACTGGTTGTTGGTTTGATGGTTTTTTTTATATTTTGATAGAATGTTGATGTTTTATTTTGTTTTATGCTGTCGTTTATGTATTTTAATGTGTTTATTTTAACTATGTTAATTGGGCTTGTCCCCATGGAAGCCTCCCAAGTCCCGTCAAGGAGATGGAGGCGGGGTGCAAAAATAAATTATTATTATTTAAAATGTTGATTTTTTTTAATCTGAAAGAACTCCTCTCTAGAAATCTCTGGATCATCCAATGACTATGATCAATGTCTAGCAGAATCTGATCACACAGTCGCATTGAAGGATCTAGAAATAATGTTTTAATCAAATCTGTGAATAATCAAATCTGCCAAATTCAAAGCCATCAATGTGGAGAATCGACTGTATTTAGAAAACTTCTGAGTAATTCTAACTAAAATACATTCTTTAAGTTTAGTGGAAATCTAGTATGCAAGACAGAAATGCTCTGTTTTAGAACAGACAACTTGCTTTGTTCTTATGACTCATCTGCTGTTAAAAACACTGAAAAATTATTATCTTAACTCAAAACCGCTCTTATTTTGTTTGTAATGAAGCACCAGTGCTTACTTTCATAAACCCCTCGCTCTTCAGTTTGTGTAGTTTGGAAGCCGCACTGTGGAGCCGTTTTCTTTGTGAATTCAAGACGGAGTCCATCACGCGCCACCATGTGCGACAATTCAAAATGAAGCCCAAGCCCACAACACATACAAATGAGATCAGAATAGCATTCACGGTCATGTTTTCAGGGTTCACTTTAAAATAAGCTATTAGTGTAATCCCCGCCACAATGCAGCTCAGAATGAAGAGGAAGATAACGAAGGATGGCAGGCAACAAGTTTTCTTCCATTTCTTTTTTCCTGGGAAATAAACAAGCAATGGGTAACTACATTTCTACGTTCAACATCAAATTTTCATTATGAACTACCAAATTGAACCACCTCAGATAAAACTGTGATGGAAGTTCAACCATATGTTTTAGGACAACTAAAGACTGTGTCAAGTTATATCTAAAACATACAATTATTACAGGAAACATTTACAGCGCAAATCTTAGAAATCCTAACTATACCAATTTTTCTTTAATCTACATACAGAATAAAATCTAGAATGGATGAAATGCCTACAGTGCTTCTCTTTCAGGACAGAAAATTGTAGACTGGCTAACTTCTGTTCACAGGAATATAACAAAAGGAAGTAAACTAAACCAATAACTATAAGCACCTACAGAAAAAGTGAATGATCACTGATTAAGTAGAGTGATTGCACTCTGCTTAAAATCTGGATGTTCATAAAGCTTGAGGACTCCACCCTTTAAAAAGACTCTTCAGTGCAGAGCTACTCTTTCAAAGGCAACTAAAGTAATTAGGTGCAGCTTCTGTAAGTACACAGGTATAGGATGTAAGGAAGTAAACCTCTGACTGCAAAAGCTCTGAATGGGTAAAAGGCAATTTTTACCAGAAGCATTACAAGAGTTAGCATTCTCTTAACAGACATAACCGGTATAAAGTAATATATAGCCTAATGAAGCTGCAACAACCTGTAATATAGTATACACAAGCAGGATACAATCTGATACATAATGAAGGCTGAAACAGTGGTTCTGCAAGCGGTAAAAGGTTTTTGCTAGTGAAATGACACTATTCGATGGCTTTCTAAATTTACCTAAAATCAGAATGAACATTGTTTATTTTCATTTTTATGTACATTTCACAAAATGTTTTTCTGAAACAGCTACATTTCCCCCACTTTTAGCAGTGTACTAACTGTCAAGTGGAAGGGAGAGGGCAGCTTAGTTCACAAATACCTTGAGTATCTTCAGTCTTGAAGACTCGAAAAAGGCGTGTTGCTAAGAAACCAAATTCTCTTTCACAGGCATCTGAGAGAGTGGCAATCATCTCAGCCATGGAAGTTTCTCCACCTACGCTGGACAGTCTATTGTAATCGGTAAACAAAAATCTGAAGAGAAACAGTTAAGAGCATTAGATAATTAATGATTACTTGGA